TCTTCTTCACGTTTGGCATGCCATACGAACTGCATTCAGATCAAGGCTGTAACTTTGAATCAACTGTGTTCCATAAATGCTGGATGTTGTTTGGCATCCGAAAGACCAGAACAACGCCATTTCACCCACAGTCTGGTGGGATGGTAGAAAACTACAATTGGACACTAGGACATGAATTGGCAAAGTTTTGTAATAGTCACCAAGATGACTGTGATGCCTTACTCTCTCCACTGTTGATGGCCTATAGAACAGCAGAGCATGAATCCACTGGATACACTCCAGCAAAGCTGATGTTTGGTCGGGAACTTTGTTTGCCAGTGGACCTGATAACAGGATCTCCACCTTATGAAGAGTTGCCTGAAAATCTGTCAGAGTTTGTGAAAGTGTTATGGGAAGGGATGGATGATATTCACCATCAAGTGCGTTCAAACTTGAAAACGTCTGCTGATTCCATGAAGATATGTTATGATAAGAAATCTACTGAAGTCAGCTTTGTACCAGGAAACAAGGTGCGGTTGTATAATCCCAGGAAGACCAAAGGGAAGTCTCCTAAATTGTCTTCTCCATAGGAAGGCCCATATGACATAGTGGATCATCTCTCAGACGTGACTTTTCGAATAAATTGTGGTCGGCGAGGTAAGCCAAAGGTGGTGCCTGCCAACAGGCTTTGGTATTATCATGGTCCAGAACATTTCAATTGGAACGAAGTGAACAATGGAACAAATTACGCTGCTGAAGACGTGCCACCCGAAGAAGCCACCGTCGAAGAAGAAACTCTACTCGGTTTTGAGAAGGGAGACAGTGAAGCCCTTCATGAAGTTACTACCACTGATGTGGTTGTTACTGATAATAGGACGTTTCCTGATGGAGCAGATGAACCCCACATGAAGCAGAAGCCAACGAGACGGAGACCAGTACGGAAGAAGATACATCCCATAAAATTAAGATACTTTCTTGAATTTTAATTTTTTGTTTGTAAATTATGTACATTTAATTAAGTTATTGTTAATTATCTATTGGTTTAATGTAAGTGGCTATTGTTTGGGACGAACAATACAAAGGAAGGGGCAGTGTTACGACAGCGGAAGTCGCGTGATGCTGGTAACACGTCATGAGTTTCTATAAGGATCATCACTTTTCCTGGCAACTCTAGTCTCTTCCAGACGCCCTCTGTTTTAGTATATAAGCCCGCCAAATAAGCGGAGATATAATGGCAGATAGGGAGATATAGAGACAGATATTCGAGTCAAGTGAGCGGTAGTGACCGTAAGTAAAGTGCGTGAATCGTTATGAATTATAGCGAGTGTTTAAATTAAAGTGACTATGGAAATTAAGTGTATTGCAAAGTTATATTGAGAAAGAATAAACTAGTTTTATTTAAGAAAGGACTTGTATCGCTGAAGTTCTTCGGAAAGAATTTTTTACGGGAAATTAACAAACGAACAGAGACGTAACATTATATTTAAATGTGCTTGCAGTAATAAAACCAAAAAGGTTTCTAATCTAATGTAATCTAATTAAAATAACTACTCTCAACTTTAATAATACTTATCTTCTCCATGAAAACGTTACAATCTACAACTATTTATACAACATTTATAGCTGAATGTGAACAAGAATCTTGTAGTATGTCATTAATTGATACTTTGTTATATAATCGACAGGGTCATTGTGCAGTAAGTGTGTATCTTTTATTATGTCAGACTTTACTATGCTATTTTAGTAGTTCTGATTCAAGGATATATAAAGTGAATATAGTGAAGCAACTTGTTAACTGTGTTTACAGGAGTATGAGCAGTTATTCTACGTTAAATGATAAAATAAATCGCATTAAACCGTTTTTGGAACTTTGGTTGACCTTGATTGTAGTTTCATTCATAGAAATATTAGTGAAGTGCTAAATTTGTTCACTATTCCTAAAATTCGAAAGATTGTTGAACCAAAACAGCCAATTGTCGTTGTATTAATTTGTTTAGAACAACATTCATAATACAAAAAGAAGTTAGATGTAAACTTAGGCAGAAATTATCTTATATTTAAGTATAACGTAAGATTATTTCCAGTTTTAAAGATGTTCGTCGTCTATATATATATATGCATGCCTCTCTTCTTTAAATTCTGTCACGTGGCTGTTGACTCATAAAAATAGTAGATTTCGGGCACATTTAATCACGCATTGCATGTTTTAACAAAATGTAAGATAGTCAGCGCTAATCAGTTAGTCGTGTTGAGAATGAAGTAGAAATGAAAATTCGTTAAGATAGCTTAAAACACGGTAGCTTCTAATCTTATATATATATGCGAACCGTGGTGTCTGTCTCTCGCTTGAAACACTGCGCACATAATCAAGACTCAACATTCACTTCTGAAATGACGGGAGAAGAGGCATGAATAATGTTGATGCCAAATTTTATTTTGCAAGCAGTATATTCTACACTAAATTGTTTAGAATAAATTACATTATTAGTCACATTTCAAAATGTAACGTGTCTTAAAGAATAAAAATGTAGATTTACCGTATGTTATTGTTGAGCGGCTCTTATCATGACTGAAATACTCAACAATTACTTTTCGCGGTGGGCGGTATAGTAGCTCAG